GGTTACGGAGGCGCGGATCACCCGAGAGTCTTTGTGCTGATAGTCATAACTTCTGAAAACTGTGGCCCACACGGGGGTAGATAAATCGGGATCCAAACAGGTAGTTGGCTGTTGGCTTCCTGATTTTAACCGTCGACAAACGAAGTGTCTCTTTGTTGTCAGCGCCACGGTCATACAGCTAGAGGAATGATGACGGAAACGGTGCTGGCGGCGGTGGTGGTGGTGGTGGTGGTGGTGGCGGGGACACTCATGACGATGATGATGCTGTTGATGATTTTGATGATGCGGATGCTGCTGATGATGATGGCGATTGCTCATCAACACGACTTCATGCAGACCCCGCCTCAGAAGCCCCCAAACCCTAACCCTAACCCCTGAATCCTAAACCCTGAATCCTGAATCCCCAGCCCCAAAACCCAAACTGAAAGCACCGTCCTAAACCGTAAACCCCTAAATCCTAAACCCTAACCTTAAATCCTCAGCATTAAACCCCCTGTCGGAAGCGCCGCAAACCTTCCCGGAGGCGAACCGAGACGAGCTGGAGGTTTGCGTTTTTGAAGGGTTCGAATAGTGGTTTCGGGTTTAGCGTTCAAGGGTTCTTTTCTAGGGGCCTAAATAAGTACCAATACTATTTTGGGGGGTTCCTTATTATACTAATGGTATAACCTTCCCCACAACCTTATTCTTGCTGTTAAGGCCCTTATACTATAGGGCTTACGGCTTGGGGCTGTGGTGTTTGGGTTTAGGGATTTAGGGCTGAAGGCTTTGGGGTTTAGGAGTCCGGCTCAGGGAGAATCTCTCCGAAGTTGAGGTCTTAGGCGATTTGGAGCCTGAGGGTGATGAAGAGATGGCTGTCGACCAGTGTATTGAAGTAATTGGTTGTATACCCCAAGTTGGGGGTGGAGGGTTTAGGGCTTCCTGGTTAGGGTTCAAGGTAAAGCGAGACATCTTCGGATTTGGATTGGAATGTGTCATTGAAATGGTCACTATATGACTTGGTAACTAGGGTGTTGTGAACGGGATTGTAAACTAGGTAATACTTTACTTCGAAGTGTTTGTAACCCGATTCAAGGTGATCATTTCAAACTTCAGATCCTTGAGATATCGAGGTGGCGCTTTTGGCCCCCGAACCGTGTATCAAAGGGGAAAAGGAGGGACCCTTAATAAGGACCCCTAGGTAATATACCCTTAATATAGCTATTATATACCCATTATATAGCCCATTATAGGCTAAGGGTCCCCTTTAAGGGTCCCTCCTTTTCCCCTTTGAGTGTAGGCAGGGTTTGGGTTTAGGCTTGGGATCGCAGAGCCCTGAACTCTGGAAGCGGATCAGGGTTTCTAGGTTGGGCTTTGGGACATTTTATATTTGCTCTTATTAGGCTTAAGAGGATCTTAAATGCTAATATTTGTCAAAGCTTTTGAAAGCACCTCCTAGTTTAGTGAGGCTAGCCAAGCTTTAGGTTTTGGCAACTTAGGTTATGAAGATTTCTGTTGCAGGTGTCGTGTATTGTAGGACGTATTTTTGTTGGAACCGGAGCCTTAGTCCCAGACGTTCAGGGTTTAGGGCAGTTTAGGGATAGTGGGATCAGACTGTTGGCAACATGCACGAGAAGCGTGTGGCAGAGCAACCTACTATATAGAGACTCCAATATCCCGTAATTAAGGAAAACATACCTTAAATTATAATAGGATCCCTAATATGATTTAAGGAATATTCCTTAATTCAAGGATATTGGAGTCTCTGGGTAGGTCATCCAAGGCACGGTTGGAGGTATCCGAGCTTGTTTCTTAATCATGGGCTGCGAGGTCAAAGCTGAGACACCACAGCTGCGCCGGGTGACCCTTCCGCCGCCTGGCGGGCTTGCTTCGGCTTCCTGAAACGAGGAATACTTGTGGAAAGTTATTGTATATACGTTATAAGAACAGCAGCCATAGCAATGGTGATCATGGTACGTAGGGGAATGGCAAGGGCATACACTCATGTGTGTCCATATACACATTTGTATATACTTACATGTGCAAGCATGTGCCAGTGTACATATAGGCGTTGGTGCCTTTGTGTGTGTGTGTGTGGGTAGAGAGAGAGAGAGAGAGAGAGAGAGAGAGAGAGAGAGAGAGAGAGACAGAGAGAGAACAAACAACAAGGCGCTTGGGTACTGTTCCTCTTGAGGGTGGGTGGGGAGGGGAGGAGAAATTGGGGCGGGGGGGGTGGTGGGGGGGCTGGTGCGAAAGCCCCGCCTGAGGGAGCATCCTGGCCATGCCAGAAAGGCGCAAAACCTCCCCGACTCTGAACACCCAGTTTAGGGTTAAGTAAGGGCTTAGGGTAGTAGCTTTACATGTGGTCATGAAGCATCAGTGCCCTAAACTTTCACACGAAGTGCCAGGGCAAAGACGAAGAGCTGCAGCCTTCGCTATGAGTACGAGCAGGCAGGTGCACCGATGGACAACGTCGCGTCCCGGCTGCCGCAAGGGCTTCAGCGAGCTTTGTGTTTCAGGTTGCATCTGCCTTCAAGCTCGGATTCAGGGAGTGCTATAGCTTCCCTCTAAACCGAAAGCCGGTTCGGGGTGTGCTATACCTAAACCTTAGACCTTAAACCTTAATCCCGACCGGTGCGAGGTGTGCCATACTTTCTGGCTCGGGCACACGATTGCTCCATGGGGTGCGAGGGCGTGAACGCATAGTTTCCCTCATATGAGGGAATAAGGTATAATTTCAGATACATTACAGGTGTGAATTCGATTTTATACCTTTAGCTTGTAGGTTCGTGATCGCTCCAGTTTTGAAATCCTGCTTCATCCTTATATGTGGGATACCGATGGGATACTTTACCGAAACCATAGTACTAGTAGTACTTCCTGCTGCAGAAACTCTCCTACTTTGAACCATGTAGGTACCTAGGAATAACATACATTTCTTCTTACAGTAAAATTCGATAAAAGTACGACTGGTTAACTGAAAATATTATGTGTACTATGTAGATACCTCGGACCCTTTGGGGACGTGTCTCAGGCTTTCAACGCCTTCAACGGAAGGATCAGCAGCGATCGCACCTCCGGTCGAACTATCGCTGCTCGGCTGCGTTCGTTGACAGTCTAGGGTTTGGGGTGCAGGATTTACGGTTTGGAGGGTATCTGGCTTTTTTTGGGGGAAGGAGGTGGTCCCTTGTCGATTCATGACGTTTTGGTTATTCTCGCTGAAGTGCTGTTGAGGGGTTGCTGTTACGTGTGAGCTCAAGAAATCTACAGCCGAAGGAATGCTATAGTCTCGGTAGTCCTGCTACAGCGTGGTGTGGCGGTTCGTTGAGAGTTGAGAAACGAGTTGTGCTCATGCCTTTCGGAACTTTCTCTCAAGTCATAGGGCCATAGGACTGTATAACCGTCTGGTAGTCCGAATCGCATTCCTTAAAGCCTACAACCCTAACCAGGCCCGATTCGCTACGCCTGCTCTAAACCATCAAAGCCCTGAACTCCTAAGAACCCTAAACCTTTAAAACCCTAAACCCTAATCCCCGTTGTGTATTCGAGGCTGGTGGTCGGTCCTCCTCCCTTCTGAAGCTTCACGGTTTCACCGGCTTTCAAAGCGGAGCGACTCGGGATGCACTCAGCAATCTTTCACGGATCTGAGAATAGGTATTCAAAGCAACGTAAGGCAATGTATCAATCACCCTCTTCGCAAGTCCCTGTTGCCCTCCAACCCCTAATATGTTTTAATTACTCATATACATGTTTTTGTACATATAATATGTGTTCGTGTGTATAGTGTGCCGTTCATATATATATATATATATATGCACACATGTTATATGCATGATCTATCATATGTACATAAAGCAAATATGCGCGTGTGTGTACAAAGAAACATATATATATATAGAGAGAGAGAGAGAGAGATAGACGGAGCGAGAGAGAGACAGAGAGAGAGAGAGACAGAGACGCCCCTAGAGTTTGCCCTAAGCCCTAAACCCAACACCCAAACCCTTAACGATCCCTAAACCCTCAACCCAAACCTTCACGAAGCCTAAACCCCCAAACCCTAAACCTTTAAACCCCCTAATAACGAACCCTAAATCCCTTAGCATTAAACCCCTAAACCCTACACTTTCAAAGTCTGCAGGAAGAGTTTGGCTCAGTCGTGTGGCAGCGGCGCCTTGGCTTTGGCTTTCGGTGCGAGAGCTGGAGGCTCTGCCGGGGTTTAGGGGTTACTATAGGAGCCTTAATAAGGGTTCTTAAAGGGCTCCTTGAAGGGATCTATAGGGCTCCTTAAAGGGATCTATGGGGTTTAGGGTTTAGGGGTTACTACTTGGAAGGGCAGGGGGCTTAGTAAGTAGGTTATACATAGGGTTATAATTGGGCTAACTCCATTTAGGGTACTTATAACTCTACTTATAACCTACTTACTAAGTCCCCTGCCCCTCCAAGTAAAGGGGCCTCAATAAAGAATGGGGTTCCTTTAAATGGGACTATAATAAGGTTCTCTAGGTTACCTTTTAAGGGTAATCATACGAAGATTCTGTAAGGGTCAAGGGTTAAGCCGTCAAGGTCCATGCACCCAAATAGTATATACTATGGGCCCAATGTACCTATATAGGGATTCTTTTCAGGCCAAAGCATCTACTATTTTGGGCACATGGACCTTTAGGGAAGGTTCCTTATAAGGGTCGTATATGGGTTTCACAAGGGTGTATAGGCTTTATGGGTTAAGGTTCTTTAGGGCTCCTCCTAAGGATTCTAGAAGGATTCAGGGTGTTAGGCTTTAGGGTTGACGTATTCGGGTTTAGGGTGTAGGTTTCAGGGCGTTAGGGTTTGGGTTTGGGGTTTAGGGGTTTAGGGCTGGGCCCTACTGGTTCAGGGATTCGAAGCACATCTCCGCATGGATAGCTCGATGAACATATGTACTCCTGTCACGAGAAGTTTTCTGACAAAGCCCAGACCCCACTCACATCCTCCAAGATTTCTTATGAGAGAACCATCTCAGGCTTTGGCGCTTCGTGTGGCTACCAATGCTGCATCCGGAGTCTCCCGTGCGGATGATGTGGCTAATGCCCGCCTTTGTCTTCGTTCTCGGGGAGGCGGATCCTCCCCAAGGCCCCAAAGCCGGCGTCGTCTCCCAGCAAAGCCGTAAGCTTCCTACAGTAAACCTTAAACATCGCTAAGTGCTGAGCCTTAAGAAGGCCTTGACGTGATCGGCTGGAGGACAGGCCTCAAACCGCTTGAGGGTTTGGCTTTAGGCTTCTGGGGCTGACCTTTGCAGTTTACTGACAAGGAACCACATATTGCAGTCTCAGGGTGCCCTAAACTATAGACCCCTTGCAGATCTCTTTAAGGAGCCCTATAGATCCCTTAAAGGAACCCTGGGTACGAGCCTCCTGTCTCCAGCGATCATTTAGTCCTGCTCCGCGGAGGAGGTGTAGAGAGGCCGAAGACGAGCCCCGAACCGCGAACCCAAAATCCAAACTCTAACTAGGATGCCCAGTAGTGCCCTTATTCCTTTTTTGTAGTCCTAGGTTCCTTATAAATTGCCCAATACCAAAAAGAGAAGAGGCCTTTTTATTCTTAGGTTACTGGGTATCCTAGCTAAGGGTTAGGTGCCATGTGCCCAAATGGTATATACTTTGGGCCCAATGTACCGACATGGGGATTACTTTAGGGCCAAAGTATCTACTACTTGGGTACATGGACGCCTAGGGTAAGACCAAACCCTACAATCTCGGACCCTGGACTCTCTACACCCGGTCCGTAAACCCAGAAGTGTTCCGAAGGGAACAGCTGGAATAGAAGCTCCCATAATGACCAATACTATTTCTGAGGGTTCCGTAGTAAATGTGCACTAATTATAGAATACCCCAAAGCACCATTAGTATTTCAAGCCCTCCGGTGTTCACGTGTCAGGCGTTCCTGGTGCCTTTCATGCTCTCCTTCGATGTGGATACCCAGCCGAACAGCGTGGCCAGTCGCGGTTTGATTTTCAAGCTTACGCATGCCGTTAGAAACGCGTTTCTTACATGCCAGAAGAGTTTTGCCTCCAGGACTTCAACGCTCGGATTCACAAGACTTTGGGTTGTGTAAGGGTTTAGGGTCTAGGGCTCAGGGATTTAGAAGTCATTCTTTGGCATCTCTGGGCCATGCGTAGATTTCAACCATTTCTCACGCAAACATGTTGCATGTGGGATCTGTTTGGCGACCCTCACAAGACCCCTCTACTGCAAAACCTCAACTATATACCGACACCCTACCTAAACCCTCCGGACTGCAGTCCCTATAACCCAGAGCAGAGGCAGATGTGCATGAGGCACTGTACCGTCAGTTCGAGATGTTTTATTCTGCAGGGGCCTTCACCGGAAGCGGACCAGACGGCGCACCCCTGTTGTAAACACTACACCCTAAGCTCTGCACCTAAGCCCAACATCCCGAGCCCTACACCCTGAGCTCCGCGCCCAGAGAACAATGTCCTAGATACGCCACCGCTTAAGACGAAGGGTTTGGCGAAGCTTCGGTTTTGTCTCGTCAGTGCGCCGTTGAATCGGCGAACAGCCTCCAAACCCCTGAGCCCTAAGCCCTAAATCCCTGCAACAGTTTAGAGTTGTGCAGACGTGGGGAGGACCTGGAGCCAGAAGGGTGCCTCAACGCCGCCCCCTTTCTCCCTCAGGTCCTTGGCATCGCGTTCCGCGTCATTGACCTGCCGCTTTGAGAGCTTTGGGTTTCGGGTATGGGATCGGGCAGGGAAATTTTGGGGCTTTGTTTGGTCTGCGGTCGAACTCTCGGATGTTGGCTCGAGGGTTACTTCAAGACAATGCCTGACTAAGGTTACAGCTATGTATTTGCACATATCCACACACATGTCTATGTTTCAAAGGTTGTCCTAAGTCTTGTGCAGTCCTTAAAGACCACCGTCCTAAGTAGGGGCCGAATGATTTGGGGAAGGAGACTCGTGGTTTGGTGGTTTGAGATTGTTGAACGGTTTAGGCTTAGGTTGGGTACTGCCCTCACCGTGTAAAAGGCCATATTTGCGTCATGTTAAGGGAGTGCAAGCATTATCCGACTGTTACAGAGTGGGGGCAGTACACAAGGTTTAGATTTACATATATGTGTACACAGACACACGTAGGTACGTACATACATGCATGCATACGTACAGACATACACACACACACAGCCACAACAACAACAACAACAACAGGCTCTTGTTGCAGTTCGTTTCAGGCTTCGAAGAAACTTGAAACCACACCGCTCAATGAAACTCATGCATCTTGCAACGTCTCGTGCCGTTGCTGACAGCCCGTATTCAGGAAAGAAGGTTCTTGGCATAGGGTTTCGGGTTTAGGTTCTAGGTCGGTTCGAGCTTTTTGAGCTTGATTTGAAGCGCTTTTCAGTGGCTCGTGTGCCTCGCAACCCCCTTAAACCCTGCCTGGAGGTTCAAAGTGCGGTTATAAGGCCCCCAACATGGTAGTTACCCGACTTGTAACTCCACTTTTTAACTACCCAAAAACCTCCAAGTAAACCGTGCCGTAAACCCTAGACTTGCCCTGAGCCCAAAGTCTGCTTGCCCAGATATTTTCTGGCCGACATCCTTGTCACCTTCCTCACAGGCCGGCTTGCATGGTGCTCTCTAGGGGTTTGACGAAGTATAAGCCTAATTATTCAAAATCTCCTGTGGTAAGGTATCAGACGCAGAACCTAAACCCTAAATCCTAGACCCTACACTGCACAGCCTAAGCCAGGACCTACGACGCAGGGTTTAAGGGTCCGGGTCAAAGGTTTGCGCTCGGGATCGCACGCAGATCAATCTCATAAGGATGGCTTTGCACTGTTGGTTTTCGATGTGTCTGACAGAGAGCAATCACTGTCCAGCAGAAATCTCGATCTACGGGCATATGTCTGTCTGAACAATTTCAGTACAGTGGTCATGGTCTAGTTTAGGCGGCCGGCCTCCTCATCCTAAAGGGTCCATGTACCCAATTGGACCCAATTAGTATATGCTTTGGGCCCGATGTACCTACATGGACCCTTTGGCAAATGACAATTCCATGCCCCCCCATATTATATAGTGCCCTTGTAGATCCTTTATAGTCACCCCTATCGACCCCTTTAAGGAGAAAGGAACCCTACTTGGAGGGTCGGGGGACTTAGTAAGTAGGTAGTAGGTAGCCTAATTGGGGTTATGGTACTTATAAGTCCCTAAAACAGCCAGTTACTAAGTCCCCCGACCCTTCAAGTACTCTAAACCCTAAACCCTATACCCTTATAGAATCCCTTTAGATCCCTTTAAAGGAACCCTAAAGGAACCCCTTATAGTTACTAGGTCTCCCGACCCTCCACGTACTCTAATCATGGCCGCCCATATTATAGTACCTTATAGATTGTAGTAACCCCTATCGACCCCTTAAAAAAAAGGGAACCCTATTCGACCCCTTTAAAAAAAAGGAGCCCTATTCTAATCATGGCCCAGGCTTCCGTCATCGCCATGGGGCCTTGGTCCTCCTGCCCTCCGCCGTGGCAGCTGGACGTAAACTTGACCCTAAGGGTCCATTTACGTACTCACGTAGTATACATACATGAATATATATATATATATATATGTATATATATATATATACATATATATATATATATATACTACATCATATTTTATACCTCGTGACTGTAGAGTAGTCCCTATTTACTTACATCAGGGCCAAAGTATATGCTGTTTGGGCACGTGGATCCTTAGGCTGAGTTGTTTTTTGAGGCGTTCATTCCCTTCGAGCTGTTTCAGCATTGCGGCATTCAGGGTCTTGCCGGCTTCTAGGCAGGGTGCTGTCCCATAGAAGGGTTCCATTGGTATGAGGGTTCGATAAAGATTGTTTTAAGGGTTCTGTACTGCATATCCTGTCACCTGACATTGCAGAGGTATTTTTCGGCACTCGTATACGTGGCGGCCTGAACGACGAAATCCACGACACCCACGACCCCACAGAACAAGTCTCCCAACACCAAACCTCAAAAATAAGGCCTGAACTCATACCAAAATGACCCTGAACATATCTATCAGAGCGGGGCCGCAATCCATCACCTCCAGCAAGCTGAGGCAAAGAAATACATGACAGGTCGAAAGCTCAGCTGCCTGCAAGACTTGCTTAGCGCTGAAGGGGATTTGGGATTTAGGGTTTAGGGTTCGGGGGCTTGGGTTGAGGGTTTAGGTTTTACGGTTCAGGGGATCAGGAGCCATGGTCCAAGGTTTTAGGAGCTAGTGTTTACAAGGTGAGGGTTACGGGGTGACTGTAGTGGTTGGAATTAATGTATACCTTTAGATGATTTTCCTTTCAACATCTAACATGAGGCACACCCAAACTCCAACTCCAATTCTTAATGCAGCTACGTTTAAGAGCTTTCGGTTAGGGTGTCAGGGATCAGGGTTGAGGGTTTACGGAGTTTGGGTAAAGGGTGCAAAGGTTCACTTGGCATTCATGCGGCTCAATGAAGCAGAGCGACAGGGTTGTGGTGGTTGACGGTATAGGGTTTAGGGTTTAGGGTTTAGGGGTTGCTCTTAAGAAAGACAAAAAGCCACCCATGTCGTTCGCGCTTTGGGTTTTGACGGTGTGCCGTGGTTTCTCGCAGCCGCAGAGAAGCTTAGTAACTGAGTAGGCAATATAACCGTTAACCTGTTGGGGTTTATATAATCCTATCATAATTGATCAGGTTAACTTTTTGGGGGTACGGTACTCAGCCCATGAGGAAGTTACACTACCAGAATCGGGTTTTGTTCGCTTGCGCGGAACCCGAAGCCCCCCAAAAAAGACCCCGAATCCCTGAACCCTTATATGTCCGTGCAAGGTATACTAAGAACCCTATGATACCCTTATGCATCCCTTTCAAAAACCCTCTCCCATAAACCCTAAAACCTAAACCCCTCAGGCTGGTTCGCGCTGGATGCCGTTGCTGCAATCCCATGGTCGTGGATTGGAGACAGCACGGCTGCGCAGGTGGACATGTAGTTACAAAGAAGGTCAGACTAATGGGGCTGATGGGAGTATAAGTGTTGTGATTGCTGGTATTCTGATGATGAGCAGTACTAGTAGTAGTAGTAGTAGCAGTAGTAGTAGTAGTAGTAGTAGCAGTAGTAGTAGTAGTAGTCGTAGTGGTAGTGGTAGTGGTAGTGGTAGTGGTAGTGGTAGTGGTAGTGGTAGTGGTAGTGGTAGTGGTAGTGGTAGTGGTAGTGGTAGTGGTAGTGGTAGTGGTAGTGGTAGTGGTAGTGGTAGTGGTAGTGGTAGTGGTAGTGGTAGTGGTAGTGGTAGTGGTAGTGGTAGTGGTAGTAGTACTAGTAGTAGTAGTAGTAGTAGTAGTAGTAGTAGTAATCCCTACCCCTGAACATTCAACCCCCCCTAATATAAAAACTGCCGGCCCTCGGAATTTCGCGGTTTCGGGCCCCACATTCAATTTAAAAGAGACGACATTAGGGGGGGTGGCAGATCTGTATGTGTTTTAATTGAACGAAGACTACAGTAGTACTAAAGACAGCAGAGATATAGGGTTTAAGGGTTCAGGGCTCAGGGCTAAAGCTTCAGGGCTTGGGGCTTTAGGGCTTAAAGTTTAGGGCTCAGGGCTTTATAGAGCCAAAGATTACACCTGTACTAAAGACACCAGCCCCTAATACAAAATCTAAACCTCCGAAATCCAGTTTTTCTATTAGGGGGGGTGAGGGGCGTTTAATATTAGGGGGAAGGGATTGGTAGTAGTAGTAGTAGTAGTCGTAGTAGTCATAGTAGTGGTCGTGGTGGTGGTCCTGGTGGTGGTGGTCTTGGTGGTTGTGGTGGTTGTGGTGGTTGTGGCGGTTGTGGTGGTGGCGGTTGTGGTGGTGGTGGTGGTGGTGGTGGTGGTGGTGGTGGTGGTGTTGGTGGTAGTTGTAGTAGTAGCAGCAGCGGCAGTGGCAGTGGCACTGGTGCCAGTGGTCCAGTGGTAGTGGTACCGTTAGTGATAGCGGAGGTAACGCTGCTGATGTTTGTTTTGGTTGGTAGGTGTCCCTAGTTTTGTTGAATCGTCTTTCGTGCTGCATCCAACCAGGAGACAACTTTGCATGATAAATATGACGACTATATGACATTGCAGGGGAGGAGAAGAGGAGGAAGAGAGGAGGAGGAGGAGGAGGAGGAGGAGGAGGAGGGACGAAGAGGAGGAGAGACAAGACGATGCAGGGAGCATCCAGAGTATGCCGGAATATGAGAAGGAACGTGAACTTGTCCATGGTGTTGATGAAGATTACCCGAACGAATTAAGACTCACAGCCTTGGAACCTCAAAGGCGTGTTCCAAAAGGAGCTTTGGCTTCCGAGCCGTAAGGAAGTTAATGTTACTTCAGACAGATTTGGGAGTTTCCGAAAACAGGGGATACCTCCTTTTGGGGTCTTTATAACAAGGATCCTACTATTTAGGGTACCACTTTAGGGTCCCCTGTTTTCGGAAAGTCCCACTTTGTTTGCGAAGTGAGTCCTCGAGCCTTCGGGTGATCGTTTGCATGCGCAGATGACGCGAAGCTTGAAAGTGGTTCGCCTGGTGCGCCTGGCACGCCTGCTGCGGCTGGCGAAGTGACATGTCCACGAATTGTGGCCGCTATGGGGCTTTGTCTCGCCATAAGTATGGAAGTTTAGATGCTGCAGGTTGGGGTCTTTTGGAAGTTCGGTGGTTTGACACATGAACCTTGAACTCTACACCATCCTAAGCTCTTGCTTAATCTATAAATCTACACTTCTTGAAGGATGGTGGGACGTAGCAATCAGGGTTATCAACAATGTAACCACAGTTATAAATACTTACTTATAACAGACCTGAGACCTCCCACTGTACAAACTGCAGAACAACTGGGCGTGCTGTTTCACACCTTGGTCTAGCTCATACAGACGCCTTGGGCCGAAGTCCTCCAGTTGTTCTTGGGCTTGGGTATAAGAGGGCAGACTGTGCAAGCAAGCTTCCAGTGATTGGTTCCGGAACCTGAAGCAGGCAAGTGGGAGACCACTAGCAGTCTTGGGCAAGATTTGGAAAAAATTCTCCACTCAGGCCTTGGAAGTTATTCAGACAGCATTGGTCGGATATTTGACAGATCGATTCGCTGATATGAACGTTTTGGCACATCACGCAAAACGCGTGACAGCGCATCCCGAAGAGGCTCGTTTGTACAAGCGGCTCTACAAGCACCAGCGATGAGCACAGCTGGTATTTGTGCGAGAGCGCTACACGCCACCGCGCGATCTGGATGCGGACCCGTGGGAGGAAGGATATTGGAACTATGGGGCAGCGGCGCCAGCAGACCAGCCCGCCGACGTTACACAACCGGAGTAAGCGCACCAAGCCCTCGGGGCCTAGGATTTGGGCGTCCTTTCCGAGACCCCAAACCTCTTTCTAGGAATCCCTTTATAAAGCCGTGAGCCCTGCGGGCTTGGGATTTAGGGTTTATATAGTGCTTGGCCAATCCCCTTACATTGATTAATCCAATAAAACCTATCCTCTGTGGAACCCTTACAGGCATGGACCTTTTGGCTTTAAAACCACTCCAAATCCCCAAACCCTAAGTCTTTCGTAATAAGCCTAAAACCCTAAACCCCGAACCCTGTCCTGTAATAATAGGAACCCTGATATGATTTAAAGTCTATTCCTTAATTGAGGGGTTTTTGGAGCCTCTGGGCCCAAACCCCAAGCCCTATGCCTTAACCCTAAACCCTAGACACAAAGCCTCGTGACCCCTAAACCCCCTAAAGCCCTAAACCCTAAACGCCAAACCTATCCCTTAATCACCCCAAAAACCCAAGAGCTCAGTGCTCAGCCTCGCAGATGAATCCCGAGGCTGCGGCAGATCACCGAGCTCCTGAGATTCCAAAGCTCTCAGCTCTCCTTGCGGTTTAGGGGTTCCTTAGTTGGGATTTAAGGTTAGGGTTTATAGCTTTAAGGTTTGGGGGGGTGTATAGGAGTTTGGAGTTTAGGGTTTATGGGCTTAGAGTACAGGGTTTATAGGGGTTCCTTAGTTTGAGGTTCATGGGCAGTTATAAGTGGGGTCTACTTACAACCCGACTTATAACTACCCATCAACTCCCATCAACCTCCAAGTAGGCCCTTCTAAGGGCTCCATGCGGGCTCTTTTGGGGTTTAGGGATTCGGGTTTAGATGTTCAAGGTTCCTTTTAAGGGCTGTATGAGGGGTTTACAAGGGTTCAGTGTTTATGGGTTAAGGTTCTTGTAGGCCTCCTTCTGAGGGCTCTATACGGGCTCTTTTGGGGTTCAGGGATTCGGGTTTAGGTGTTCAAGGTTTAGGATTAGCGGTATGACGGTTTAGGGTTTACTGGTTCCAGGTTTAGGATTTAGTAAGGGCTTTTAAGGTTTAGGATTTTAGTAAGGGCTTTTGAGGTTCACGGTTTCAGGGTTCTTGAGGTGCTCTCGGGTTCCTTCAAGCGGTCCTTGTAAGAGCTCTATAAGGGTCTAGGGTTTAAGGTTTCAGGTTAGGTTCACCCGCCCGGCGGGGGGGAATATACACAGAGATATGCATACTTGCTTCTATAACATACCATCCATAACACACTACATCTCTTTGCAAATATGTGCACATATGGGTGGTTGTCAAAATTGGGGTCCCTTTTGGGGTCCCTATTCGGGTTCGGCACCTAATAGTTAGGGTACCCATAAAGGGACCCTAATTTTGACAACCACCCATCTATGTACATACACACATCCGTATCCAACGGTAACATGTAGGGCACCGATTTCCTGCAAGACCGAAAGCTTGCTCTGTAGGAAGGTGTCGTCTGGACGGCTTTAGGGTTCCCTTTGCAGTAAGCCCCATAAAGTTGGAAACCGGATTGAGGCCAAATAGTGCTAAGATTCCCTATACATTATTCTTAAGGATTGAGGCTATTGGGTTTCCAGCTTTTGGGCTTCTGCTGTAAGGGTTCCTTTTAAAGCGGTAGATACAAGGGCTACTATAGTGACTAATATAAGGATTTAGTATTCTTCGAGTTGCTGTCAGGACCCAGTGATTACGTACTTAGGTTTCGGATAGTAGTTATGTAGGTTACTATTTGGGAGAGTATATGACTATAGGTAGTTGGATTCTTGGGGTCAGTTATGGATGCGCCACCTTAAAAAGTCCAGCCAGCCATGTCGGGCATGCTCCTGGAAAGGCGCTTGGGTATGTGTGGTAGGGACTCTTCGGGCTATGCTGGCAGACTAGTCCTGCGGTGGTGTCCATTCCGTGCATCTCACTTTCCCTCCGAGTCACTGACCAGGAACTGTCCCTAAACCCTAAACCCTAAAACCCTAAAACCCTAAAACCCTAAACCCTAAACCCTAAACCCTAAACCCTAAACCCTTCCCTAAAGGCGCGTAGCAACTCCAAAGCTGTCTTTGCCTGTGTCCTTCTGTGGATTTAGACTGAGGGACTGGGCCTTGGGAGCTGTCCTCTTGGCACTCTAGGGCTTTAGGGTTTAGGGTTTAGGGTATAGGGTTTAGGGGTTTAGGGTATAGGGGTTTAGGGTATAGGGTTTAGGGTTTAGGGTTTAGGGCTTTAGGGTTTAGGGTTTAGGGTTTAGGGGTCGCTGAAGGGTTTAGTTCAAGTCTTCAAACATACATGGTGGTTCTGGTACCCTGGCAAGCCTACGTCGTTAGTATCCTGAATCCCTACTAAACACTTGTGCTAGACCTGCCTTCCACGGGCAAGGGCGGCCGAAATGTTCATGGAGGGCAAGTATCTGGCTGAGCTGATCATGGGTTTCGGCAAGGCCGGTGCCTTTGGGTCTGATGATGTCTTGCTTGCGACAGATCAGTTTAGGAGTTACCAAGCAGTAGTACTGAGTTTAGCTTCATCATTCTGTTTGGACGCATGCGATTGCCCGCTGCTATATAGTTAGTCGTCTCGACACCACCAACGCCCGCATCACGCCAACTACTACCGCCAGTGGTGCTGCTTCTCTCACTATTACCGCTGCTGATACTGAGCTGCTGCTTGTGCCGCAACCT